ATGTGTGGGAATTAGGAGAAAAAAGAGAACTCAGGATACCGGCGCCAGATCGATATATCAATCGATGGGGTTCTAGGTTTTAATCAATTTGCGGCTTCTGGCCTCGGTTATTATCTTCGCAGTTGTGACTTCAAGCTCTTGACCCTTCGCGTAGTTATGACTAGCCACCTATAATTTTCCGTTGCACAGCAAGCCTATGTTCGTGTGCACACAATCCTAGCATGTATTCGGTCCGATCTGTGTCGGCACTAGAAGGGTTCTGGCTGGGCTCGTGATACACTGCTCCTGATTACTCTAGGATTTAATCGGTCCGTGCTTTTATGACCCTGCTGCGCATCGTAACATTAAGCCACACCTAATTCCGCAGCCATATGCTCAGTCGCTCTGACACGTCCTTGATATATGGCAAAGCATACGATACCGTAGGTGCTGTATCCGACCGGATTCCCTTGAGACGAATTCGAAGGTAACGGTTTATGAACGCCTTCAGATAACCGTTCCGCATAGACCTTTTGCGGATCTTTCGGACCACCCCATCCTCTATAATTGTTGTTGGTTTTGATGCCGTTTTTTATCGCTGACGATGCACTTCTGTACGAGTTAGGAATCTCAGATGAATACATTAATGGCTGTGGTGATCGGAGAGTCTTATACTTCCCTGCATATTGCTCGCATGGCTACTGTACCGGTTCCTTTTTCGAATTTTCTCCAACCAGAAACTAGACCGCACTAACAGCATCTTATCATATGCTCCACAGTTAAATTGTTGTAAGGTTTTCCACGGTTAGTTTAAGTCTTTACTCATGCTAAAAAAGTAGAAGCTTCCCTTATAAAAGTTTATTTGTAGGCTTTAGTGCTGAGTTTTAGGACGTGAATCACACAGTTTTACAAATCAGAACTTGGGAATAACACGCCCTTTATATCACCTTTCTCCTGATTTATGCTGAACAACAAAAACTAATTTTTAAGTAATCAACATTGTTTTTAGTAAATCTTTTGAGTTAAAATTAATACCATCTGACGGAATAATGCACTGAAGCAAATATATATTCTAGGACAGTTATGAACGCAGAAAAGAGGTTGGCTTTATGTTAGCGTGGATTTTCGCCAAAATTTGCAAACCTTTTCCTTTCTACAATTACGTACGAGCCTTTTTTCTTATGAAGCAATACCTTAACTGGAACGCATTGGGTAAATATGCAAAACGCATAAGATATGAGTTGTACTTGAAAGATCATGTACATATCTATCGCTATGTTTCACGAATTACGCCATCTGGCGCAAGAGCCGAAGCACTAATTGTTTCACCACAGTTACTTCATGTCATCTTTTTGTGCTCGGTGGCTGGCACTGGTTTTCTTGACAACCCAGTATCGAATTGCATCTGTGTGCTTATGCAGAAACATGTTATTTGAAATTTTGCGTTAGCCTCCTCACTATTTGGATTCCAAATTATACCACGTTCATCTGTATGTGTTTGTAGCGTCTAGGCAATGCATGTACGCGTAGCACTACATGGCTGTAAAAGACAGGAGGCATCTATGGAAGGACTGCGATATAATCGACGAAGAAGTGGCTCATATTCTCCTTGAGTAGTTTTGCCATAATGACCACCATAAGAAGGAAACATTACTTTCCCTCCTGAGAGAAGGACTAACTAATCTTGCTCGTTGGCTGCCTTCCAAGCAACGGTCTTTAGTGCACCCTGATAGATTCAAGTGCGTCAGTGTGTTTTTATAATGAGGAACATGCGCCAGGATCACTTTCCTCTCTCGCATACCAGTCATTGTCCAAACCGGACTACCAACATATGCTAAGACTGGGCGCAAATGGCTGACAGAGATAAGCAACCCATCTACGCATTCTATGCACGACCTGCACTTCGACAGAACACGCCATGTTTTCATACAGAGGGTGAGACATCGATAGTGCTCTTGTTGCAGAGCTTAAACCATAGATATTCCCTAGCCACAATGACCTTCAGGCCCGATCGCGATGGTCCTCGCTGTGGGCGCATTGAGCGCGGATGCCGGAATGACGACGAGGGCGTTTGCGGGGACAGTAGCTGGATTCGTCGGGTTGTTGTTACATTGAACAACGAGATGTTCAATAAGGTCGATCGGCGACAGAGCATTCGTTGGTGAGACTTTGGTATGGATGTTGTTGGTTGGAGTCGTTTTAGACTTGCGAGCAGCCCTTTTGGCTTTTACGGTGGCGATTCGTTTGGCTTCATATATTGTTGCGTCCAGCTTCATTGCTA